TCATTAAGTCCATTAAGTGAAAAAGAAGCATATGTTGACAACTAAATTTTTTGCAGGTGATTGCTTCAGAAAATCAGCCTGTTAGGTGGACAACTCCTCTAGGGCTTCCTGTGGTGCAACCTTATTTCAAAACCAAACGTCATATTGTAAGTATGGAAATCAATGATGTTTTTATTTAGTTATTTATTTTTTTGGGATTTGAAATTTGTTGACCTTGAAAAGTCAAAGGGTATGTTTTTTTTTTTTCATTGTATTGGATTATACTATTTTGTTACAAGACATGACTATTATTGTTGTCAATTGGTTGCAGATAAAAACATCTCTTCAGGTCTTAGCTTTGCAACGAGAGGGTAGTATGGTAATTTGCCATTGCCTTTCTAAATTTGATCTTCATTTTCAAGTTTCAAACATCTTGTGAAGTTTCTAAGATTTTTATCACTGTATTTGTATTTATAGGTGGAGGTTAAAAAGCAGAGGACTGCATTTCCTCCAAATTTTGTTCACTCGCTTGATGGGACCCACATGATGATGACAGCTGTTGCTTGCAGGGATGCTGGATTGCGTTTTGCAGGTATGTAATTCTCTAATAAAATATAATTGTTTAATATTATTAGTAGCTTTAAATATTATTGTAAAATAAGATAAGTTGATAATTAAACATCATGATAAAGGTAAAAAAAAATCTAGGAAATGAATGAGGGCGAAGGATATCGGATATACTAATTTTATTTAATGACAAAAATACCCATGAAAACAGTATTGTACATTTTTATAGGTAACAGATACGAAGGGTAGAATTGTAAAGCTGTCAGCTTTCCTTCCCTCCCTTTCTTTCCAATTCTTTGTTATATTCCATCAAGTAGTAGTTTTTTTTCTTTGGGTTTAATTTTCTTATTTCAAGATTGGATAGAAATTTAATGTCATATCATAACATTAACATTATATTTATTTGACAGGGGTTCATGATTCTTTCTGGACACATGCATGTGATATTGACAAAATGAACCAAATTCTAAGAGAAAAGTTTGTAGAGCTCTATAGCATGCCAATTCTTGAAAATGTAAGCATCTTTTCATTCCTTAAAGGCTTATTATGCATCAATGATTCACCTTTTATACCAATTTATGCAACTTTTGGTCCTAAATCGAGAAAATGGTGAAACTTTGGTGCATCCCTTTGTTTTCTTAGGTATTTCTTTACATCAACTATCCAAACAACACTCATCAAACTTTTGTTCTTATGATTTGCTTTTACTTTAATCTCAAAACAGCTGCTTGAAAGCTTTCAAACAACATATCCAGGGCTCGAGTTTCCTCCCCTACCAAAGCGTGGCAACTTTGATCTGAATGAAGTTCTTAATTCGCCTTATTTTTTCAACTAAACACAACACAGTGTCTCTGTATAGAAGTGTATTTTACAAGCCAGCAAGAAGCATCATCACATCAATATACGTTTGTGTCTTAAAGGATTGAGATCTTAACAAGTTCTCATGATGATATTCATGAAGGGATATAGAGTTTTTTTTTGAGAAATTGAGGCATTACAAAGTAGCAAAACATGTACATTTTTTGGCAAAAAGATGGAGATTCATGGTGGGACCCTCGTGGGATACTTGAAGCTAGGTAGATCGTTGGCTGAAGATGATCTTGACCTTTGAGCTCATTGAAGGGGTTCTTGAGGTTTGGTTTTAGGGAAATGTGGTATTTGTAGTGTGTTTTTTGGAGGAATTAAGATGAAAATGGAATGATCTTTTAATGTATATGCTAGTGAGGGATTCAAGTAACATTGTTAGTGTAGGGTAGTGTATATTTGTGTTGTCTCTTTTTGACTTAATGGACTTAATGAGGATAAGACTGTTAAGCTATATACAAGTCAATTGTTAAGACTTGGTGCGAAAAGGTCTCAATAAGGGAAGTGTTTTTTAATGCCCCTCATGGCTTTTTACAAATATATATGCATTCTGTATCTTCTATGTTCTTTAAAGTTTGTTGTCTTTTTCTAAAAGAACTTATAGTTTTCTGTGTTCCATCATTGGAGAAAAAGATTGAAAGCTGAAATTTTTATATAATTGTCTTTATTATGTAATTATATGATAGAATTGGCATATATAAAGTTAGAATAACATTAGAAAGAATTTTGTTATAAAATTTATGTTTTTTTTCCCTTTCATCCTTAAATTGAGAGAAAGTTCTCAAAGATAATTTGCATCTTGGTGGCTTCATTTAGTAATAATTCATCATCCATCCATTTTAGGTTGATGGTGAACACAAAAAGTTTCAACTCAAGGTAAAACTTTTTAGTTGCCAAATGTTTACATTTCACATATGCAAGGATGGGAGAAGTGGGAAAACCAATATAGCAAAAATAGTGCAAAGTAGTTGAAGTGTAGTTTTGGTGTTTCTTTCATTAAGTTAGTTATTACATTACATGATTATATAGGAAGAAACAGGGGAACATGATCATTAGTTTTGGTGTTTCTTTCATTAAGTTTGTTAAACAAGGATGATTAATTTGTAAGGAACTTTTAGTAGCACCAAAGACACTCCTTTTATTCTAAAAGTGCAAGGTTGGTTTGTCAAGACTAAAATAGGGGAACATGATCATTAGTTTTGAATGGTTTTGAGTAGGAATGCATAAAACGGTGACTAAATATGTACAAGAGTGCAATGTTGGTTTGTCAAGAGCAAAATCATTCCACCATATTGTTGGATTAAGGTGTCAAAGTTTATAATTAAATTGTCTGCAAATAGAAGCAAAATCCTTTTAGGGTTGTCCTTATAATGAGAAATAGCTAAAAATGATATTAGGAGAGAGAAAAAAAATGATTTGTTAATATATTATGTAATTAATATATAAATTATAAATAGATAATTGATCTGTTAATTTGTTATGTGATTAATTAATTAACATGAGATCAATAGTTAAATAATTGATTTATTAATTGGTAAATTAATGAGAAATCAATAAGAATTAATTAATTGTTAATCAAACTTAATCTAAAATTAATTGGAACTAAAGGTGCAAGGGTAAATTGTAATTGTTTAATAGTGGAACAAAAGAAACAATTCTAGAACCATCCGAAAGATGGACGGTTTTGGCTTGATTCCTAGGGTATCTGGAAGCCTGGATGTAAATAAGAAAATGATTTGAATTATTTAATTAATCTAAATATGTCTGTGCCTGCAAGTTACCTAAACTATAAATAAGACTCCAATACCAACAAATTTCGTTCATACCTTTACCTACAAGCTTAGGAACGAAATTTCTATCACTTTCCTCTCTCTCCTCTTGATTCTACGGTTTTGAGTGTGCCATTAGAGGCATCATACTTTTGATGTTTGTTCTCTAAAGACACAAAAGAAATAATTAAAGATTTATGTGCTATAATAAATCTAAATGTATATAAACCTTCATTCATGAATTTCGATTTCCATAGAGTTCCTTTAGGGTTCTTGAAGTTCATAGTATATTGCTATCAATTAGAGAAAACATAAATCCTTTATAGGTTGCAAGTGAACTTAAGTGTTAAGATTTTCCGCTTTATATGTTTTTATAACCTATAAAACCCATCACACATATCCCCCGGGGTCGTTACAACTATTAGGCTTTTCATCGCAAGTGTGGCAAGATCGTGGTAGTGGTTGATCTTTTTTCAAAAATTGACCATTTTCTAAACCTAAAACATCACCACAATGGCCCATATATTAATTTGTAAAAGCAATCATCCGCCTCCATCGATTCCCAACATTAGTTTTTTTCTGATTGGGGCAAAATCTTCATGAACATTTTTTTAAAGAGCTCTTTCGAATACATAGCACCATCCTCAAAAGTGCACTCCCTATAAGGCACTGTATGGACGAGACCCTTCCCTTTAGTAGACATATATCAGACAAACCACAATATCCATGTTAGAGGACCAATTGTGTGAGAGGGATACTATCTTAGATGAACTTAACTTTAACATCCTTCGAACTCAAAATATGAAATGTTAGGAGAACAAACACCGCAAGGATGTAAGCTTTCAAGTAAGAGAGCAAGTGTATACCAAAATCCAAACTTACCGGTGCAAAGACCATATGATTAACTAGCCCTACACTTGTCATTACAAATTTCAGAGCACATCAGGTTGTTGTGTATCGACTTAAACGGATAGAGAATACACATCCATCATATCTTCCAGGTTCACAATTAAAAAAAATGTAGGAAGTGAACCATGTTCTCCAAACCTCCCTCCTCCGTTGATAATGAATCTTGAAATAGGGGTTGAACCGAAGGAGTTGTGGGTATGCTCCAACCATTACCCATTGTAGCACTTAGGGAATTTCTTATCAAGTGGAAAGGGATGCCTACATTGGAAGCCACCATGTGAGGACTTATACTATGAATCATACTTTTCGTTCGTTTCACATTGAGGACCATATAAATCTTTGGGGTGAAGTATTGCTAGAATCCCATTAATTTTACTTGTTCAAGGAGGGGCAAAGTGGGACAATCAATATTACAACAAAAAAGTACCTAGTAAGGGTAGTTTTGGTATTTCTTTCATTAAGTTTGTTATTTACACTGTTCGAAACTATGGATTTGGTTCCTTATAGGTATTAGGTTGGAGGGTGGGGGGTGCGGTTCAGCTAAAACCGCAGCTGATGTAGCACTGAAACACCACCCCCTCCATGCGGTTAGGGAGTGCGGTAATGAGAGGGAGCTCTCTCTCTCTCTCTCTCTCTCTCTCTCTCTCTCTCCCCGTTGGTGTTTTAAGGAACTTGCAGTAATGGGAGGGAGTGGAGGGAGTGTGGCTCCACTCCCTCCAACTTTAGGCTCTTATGAATTATGTCAACCACCTAACAAGCTACTATCTATAATACAAAAAATATTCTTATCATGGCCCACGTAACAAAAAGTCAACCACCACACAAACATCAAGAACCATTCCAATAAGCAAGTCAGATGGATCCCAGTTTTCATCAATAGCTACTGATTAAGCGAAACGACAATATACAGAGTATTTTTTTTTTTTTTTTTTACATGATCAGGGTACGTACATATATACAACTGAACATATTACCATCATCATATCAACTGTACACCAAACTGAAATAAAATTCAATCATTAAACTTTCAAATTTCCCATTAAAACGTCATCTATGTACACTTGCCTCTATCTTTTTTTTTCTTTTCTTCCATCATATCTGACCAAATTTAAACGATCAGGAAGCAACAGTAGGCGAATGAATGGTTGTGTCAGGTAACATGGCTACAGTCACCACAAAGTACTCACACCCAACCCCACCCGGTAACCCATACGGGTTCGAGCCGGGTCGCACCGGAGATGATTTCACAGTTTGTCTCTCGATGTGCACGATTTGACCCACAATGTATGTGGGCCGGTTTGGAAGGTGATCAGCAAATAAGGCTACAGATTCTGAAGAAAGAAAGTAATGAGAATGAGCAGAGTTTCGGTTGATAGCTTCATAGTGGCCTGATACATTGTTAAGTACAAATGCTGCTATCTCATGAAGCTCTAAACGACTGAATGATATCTTCTCCTTGTTCACCTGTTCACAGATATTATCATCATTTCTGATTATATTAAAAAAAAAATAGAAAAAAAATACATTCGGTTACCCGTATGTGTTTTGGTAAAAAACGAAACCTGTTTTTCGGATTGAAGCTTGACATACAAAGTATTGATCAATTCTTTCTTTTCATTCAACTCCTTTGTGAGCTCTTCATGTGATGCCTCCGCCTTTGTGTACCTCTCGATAAGCTCGGCTCGTTGCCTAGTCAGCACTCCCACTTTCTCAGCCAACACGCGCACACATTCACGAAACTCCGCCACACCATCATCACTATTCTCATTTGCACAACTAAATCGAACCATCAATTCTTGTAAAAACATATTAAGTGGTGAAAATTAATTAATAATAATATCAGAGTTTTTGAATGCTTACGTGGCAAGAGATTGAGCTAACGCGCGTAGTGAGTCAGCAAAACCAGCCACACCAGCAGAGGAAAACACACGTTTTCAGCCTCTCGAAAAGCGTGCGCACTTTAACCGCCGAGGTACGTAGCGCGGTGTATTCCGATGCTTTACGGTCAGCTGCACATAGATGTGTCTGCGCCTCTTCTCTTGCTTCGTGTAGACAATTCTCTAAGTGTGCACAATTCATCTGGACCCCACACACACAAAAAAAAAAATCAAAAAATTAATAATATATAATAAACCAAATTATTTTAATTGTATAAAGATACAAATTATATAATTACCTGAGATTCATCTAGAAGATTCCGGCTGATTTCCAACTCGTTACCCAGCCTTGCAATCTCATCCATAGCTTCACGGAGCTTTATTTCCATTTCATTTACTTCATTTGTCTTCTCAGCAACCAAACTCTGCAACTCCACAACATCACCACCACCACCACCACCGGTCTTCGCCGGAAAACTTTTCTCCGGCATGTAATCGCCGCTAGAGCTCGCCACCATGGCCTCCTTTTCATCTTTCTCATCTGGCATTGATGAATCCAGATGCGTATTTGACCCATAAGAAGCCTCATCCATAGGAGAGAAGATTTCCGATTTTGAATCCCCGGTTTTCCCGGTTGACTCGTCTTTATTGAGTTTGACTTCTAGAGTATACTGATCCGAAAGTCTTTGTTCGAGTTCCTTTATCCTTTTCTCATATGATTCACATTGCAAATGTTTCGTTTTTAGCATTGATAACAAATGCTTTTCGTGTTCATCTTTCAAACGTAACGCCTCAGCGGTTTTTTCGGTTGCGTTTTTTAGCAAATCGCCTACTTTACTATCATCAAGTGATTCGAATTCAACTTCGGGTGAAAAAGAACAAAGGAGAGCAATTGTGGAAGCTAATTCGGCTTTCAATTTTGCATTTTCAACTTCAATTTTACTAGTTCCAGCAATCTCAACCAATTCAGAAGCCTCGATAAAATCATTCCCACTTTCGGAAGTTTCCTCAACGCCCTTTTTGAAAGAAAGCCCGACTAGATGCTCAGGGGCAAAACGGTCAATATCCGATACATCAATATCGAGTAAATTCGCATCAAATGGAGCTATATTCACATCACATGTGTTAGGGGTATCGTATAGCCCCATTGAAGCTAAAATGTCTCTTGGAATATAAGAACTGTGAACTTTTAAAAACTCTTCTCTTCTCCTTATTTCAACTTCCCTTTTGGATGCAAGTTTTTCAGCTAAATGTCCAGCCATTCCCATGTAAAGCTTCATGGAGGATTTTCTTCTCACTATTTCTGCTAAACAAGCACGGTATGCGGGCCCGATGCCACGGATGACTTTTAAATGGTCAAATTGGTCATTTTGGCGTTTTAGGGCTTCGGTGAAAAGTGAGAATTTGTTGCGGATTTCTTTGATGGTGTATTGAATGTATGCAATTTTTTGCATGTATTTGTGTACAAAAGTGTTCATTTCTGATTTTTTGTTTTTGCAGAAAGTGAGAAGGTTGGAAATGGCACGTTCACATGCTTGCATTTTGGGGATGTAGCTTTTGTCATGACCTTCATACATGGGGCCCAATGCAGAAACAGCATCATGTGGACGAAGGGAATTGGAGAGTTGACTAGTCAAACAATCATCCACGAGTTTTTTCACTAAGCCCACATCTTTGCTGTATTGATTTAGATTGGAAGTTGATGAGATGAGCAAACTTATCTTAAAGATTTGACATTTAAAATGGAAAACTTGGGAAGAATGTGAAAAGGGTTAATGACTTGTTCATATTAAAATATGCTGCAAAAAACTGGAAAGAAATCTAGTTTGTTGTGTATTTAGGTGAAAGTGTGTGGTTTTGTTGCATAAACAAGTTATTAACCCTTTTGTGAAGTGGAACTAACACCTTTATTATGAAAGATTCATTGTTTGACTAGGCATGGCCTTTGTGAGATGTTATTACTAGTTAAAAGCCTTAAATGCCCTCCAAATAATGACAAAATAAAAGTCTTGTGGAGGAATATCAGAAGCATCAGCAGAACAATGGGCAGATAGGTCATTCCAACTTAAAAATTTCCCACAGAAGGGAATGTTGCAATTTTCACTAGACTATACTGAATTACAAAAGAAACAATTGATTCCAAAAAAGGACACATTTACCCCTCTCTATATAAACACAAACACCCACACAAATAGATGGAGATAGTAGTATGATTTACAATTTTACATGCAACAAACAATAATGCTCACACACTATGCCTTTTCCCACATATTACACATTAAAATTAGACTATGAAAAGACATATTTACTTCACAAATGCTTTTCTTCTCTTAAGTGAAGATTATAATCAGACTAAGGTGTTGTTTATATTTGACATAGTAGACTTAACTGGGATAGAATCCAGTAAGCTATATATGAGTGCTTCTTTTTGACTGAATAGACTTAATAGGAACACATATAATTGCAACAAACAAAGATTTAATTCAAAGGGGTAAAAAGGGTATAAGGTTTTGAGAAAGATAACAAACCTCAAAGCCTGCATAATGCTTTTCTGCTCATTAATATGATGCTGGTGCTCCTTAACAGTTCTCTCCAAATCTCTACCAAGAATTGAAGCTTTACTAGAAAACAAACACTCAGTGCTTCTCTTTAATTCTCCAAATTCCTGCTTAAACTCTCCAACTTTACTTTCAAACTGTCTATGAGAATTACTACAATCATCCACCATTTTTCTCAAATTATCTTCTTTCACAAAATCCGACAAACACTTTCGATCACCACTCTGTAACAGAGGAAGAAGTTTAATCGACCTTAGCCTCTCCAAATCCCTCCCAAAATTCACCAACAAATTCGAATGTGCTCTTTGCTGCTGAGAATAACACCTCACGAAATCAGTGTAGTTTTGTAGGATCATCTTATAGAAATGGTCCAAATTACCCCTGGCAATCTCCAGTGCCTTCTCTTGCACCCTGTGCTTTCTTGAAATCCGCTCACTGGCCTCATATTTCATAAGGGTACGTCGGTAAATTGCGTCTCCAAGCTGGTAATGGTATCTAAATTGTCTTTCGTATGAGGGTAAAGCCTTTAAAGCAGGATCAGAGGCTTCATCTAATGGATGTGGATCATGGGAGGAAGATGGGGGTGGAGGGTCAAGATGGTAATTTTCAGCTACTTCAGGTTCTTCAGGGCTTGGTGGAGTGGAATTGGTTCTCATTTTGGCTCGATTGAATAAGAAAACCTCTCGATCATCTGATGGGAGTTTGTATGCAGAAAGTGGCTGTTGAGGTTCTAATTTTAAATCCAAATAGAGAATAAGTTGATCATTTAGGCGAATTCCTGAAAGGGATTCAAGATATTGTTGGACAGATTCAACAAGGGTGTCTTCATCACAATCAAGCTCAAATGAATGCCCGTTTTCTGCTATATGAACTAGAAGTTTTCCCCTTTGTATTACATTTTCAGTTGAACTCATCTTTTTTAACCCCAAACAGGCCAATTAATCTAATAAAGATTGACGCTTTCTCAATTCAATAGCATAAATAAGCTAAAACGATTGTGTGGTGTGGTGGTAGACCACCATATACTCGGCTGATTTGATCAAATCCAGCTGCGTTTACACCACCGCCGAAATCTGCAAAGAAATTTAGTTCAAACCTCAATAAAACCCTAGATTAATGAATACCCATCACCGAGATCTACAAAAGTCATTTAATGCCCAAAAATAAACGAAATCCAACGATGTTTATTATCAATAAAACCCTAATACTCGTCAACCGACCATTGAAATCTATAGAAGATTGAAAAAAACCCACCAAGATTTCGTCGGTAGAACACCAAGATTATCGAAATTAAAACTGAAATCGTTAAAATTGGGAATAATCACTGGCGTTTTCAGCCGAATAAACGATTACCCACAAAGGAAATCGGGTATACTTCTTATATGTACACTAAACTCGAATGATGGGTTCAATGGTAAATTAGAGAGGAGAAAACCCCAATAAAGAGAGATAATCAATGACGTAAAAGCAAAGGGGGAGAACAGGAATATATGGAATTACTTAAGATTTTAGCTAAAGAAAGAACAAGCTTATAACGAAAGACGGGTCTTCTATGGAATATTTTATAAGATTCAATGAATATATAACAAATGTGATTTTTTTCTGCATAGATTATTAAAATATATTTAGTATGGGTGACCGATGAAACCTTCAGAGATGAGTAAACCACAAGGTACAAATAAGCTCTTCCTTGTACTTGCCCTGTTCTTCCTCCGCAAATTCGAGCTTCGGAGGAACAGAAAATCCTAGTTTAGAAGCCTGGATGCGTGTATGAATATATATAACTCGATCATGATATCTTTTTATGGCTATTTTTTCTCGTTTTGCTGTGTTTAACTCCGCCGTTTCCAAATCTATTTGGGGGTTTGGATGATGATGGATACTATAGAATTTAGAGTTGTATCATGATTGTGTTTTAGTTGTTACATTTTCTCTAATAATGCGCATTTAACCCTTCTTTTTTTTTTTTTTTTTTTTTTTTTTTTTTTTTTTTTTTTTTTTAATAATATGTCATTAAAGTTTGATTTGAAGTTTAGTGAAGATATTTTCTTTTTTTCTTTATATATACTAAAATCCTTATTTTTAGCATTTGTAAATAATTTATAATGGGGTTTTTATATGTTAAAATCATTATAATTAAAAAAAGATCAAATTGACCATTTTGTTCTTACTTCTAAATTTTTGGAGTTGATCTTGAGTCATGATATCACAGTAACATCAGTTTAGAACTTAACTTCTCTATAAACACGAACCCTCTTTGTCATCTTGTGCCCCGGTTGCAGTCCACTCAACCCATGGTCAACCTTTGATTATGTTTCTTCATTTCATTATGATATTCTTAGTGATTTCATTAATGTATTGGTTTATGATTCTCGAATTATAATGGAACGACGGTTGTTGTTTCATAAGGGTTAAGATAGTGAGGTGTGCGCTAAAAGGAATGTTGATGATTTAATCACATGGATGGTAATTATGGTTATGGTCGGTTCTATGTGTGGAATTAACAATGTAGACAATACCGGTTCTGAGGATTCAAATGCCCTGAATGAGCCGGAAAAAAAGGCCTTTAGGTCTTAACGTATACCAAATTTAATTACATAAACTATTTTTTTAAACAACGATAAACTAATTTATTTAAGCACTTTGATTTCTAAATTCTGATAAACAAATAAAACAATTATAACATATGTATATTCCTTAATTTATATCATAACGTATAGCAAAGTAGATATTTCCTAAAACCTAATGTGTCCAACATACCGAGTTGGAGTTAAATCCTTGGACTTCATGATCTCCTTATAATCAATAAAGCATTAAGAGATTGCTTTCTACCACATTCATAATACAAAACTCAAAAGTAGGACCATAATACAAAATAGAAACTAAGATACACTGAACCAAACAAGAACTTGAATTAGTATTAACTATTTTGATGGCTTCATATAAAATAAAAGGATATGATTATTAACTAATAAGTATCCAACCATAATGGATGCGTATGCAGGCTAACTAAAAGAATTAAGTTGCCACAATCAATCTGACAGGATAATTAATCACCCATAAATTAGAAGTTTGATATTATCATTTATCGTCATATGCTATACAAATGATTTATCCAGACTATTGACCCATGAAACATAATTATAAGCACTAAAGTTTCACCAAGTATATAATTGATAATTATACACCGATAATCCTCATAATCTATTACCTGATTAGCAGGAAATCGACTCTTGTTGTGTCGCTGCCGTTGAGTTGTTGTCGTTGAGTTGATGTCGCTTACCGATTATTTTTTTAACGTGATCCATTGATCGCTTCTGGCATTCTGCTGCGATGCGATGTTGCTTCATCCGTACGTGACAGATTCTGTCTTTAGCTCTTTGCATATGGATTGGACTAAAAGTAAACATAGTAATAAAAAATGGACCCCTTAAAAATGTGGGCCCTGTTCTAATGTCCACTTTGCCATTGTTGTAAACCGAGCCTGAATGTAGGTTTGCATGGTGAAACTAAAAGGAGTAGTATCATGCTTAGTGTACTGTCACATATCACGACCACATAAGTTTTGCCACATATCATCCTCACAATGCCATTTATATAGGGTGGGTTAACATCATAATTTTTTATTTTTGTATTTTTTTAAAACTAATTTTTCCATTAAATAAAAATAAAAATTACATAACAGTTAAGTCTAAAATGTTTAAGATAATGAACTAAAATGAATATATAAAGAAGACCATATCAAAATACTTCACACTTATCTTTTGCTTGTCCCCAAGCAAATCATAATCATTCAAAGTATTGCAATTCAACTTCAATATATTCCCATCAAAAATTTATTTACCAACATTACACGAGATAACCTAATTCAAACCCATAAATTATACCTATCATCAATGCATATATTTATGTCTAAACCTAATTACTTTATAAGTTTCGAATACTCACAATTCTCATAAAATACTTACCCTTTAATTTGAAGAATACTCATTATATGCATCCCTTAGAATACATCCTTTAAAAATTCATTAAGCTCAAGGTATGTTTGCCAAGTTTCCAAGCTCTTAGACTCAATTTAAAAAGAAAAATAACATACAAAATAATAATTACAACTTTGCAACTTTGATATTAAGCTTTGACTTTTACAACTTTTTGCTTTTGCAACAACTTTTGGCTTTTAGCCTTATTTCTTCAATTTCTTCAAAATCTTCATACTTTGTAATATCTTATTAACTCAATAAAATTTTACTTTTAAACACTTTTTTTTTTCCTTTTTCAAAACTTTATCTTTTTTTCTTTTTTACATACTCATTTTTTCACTCTTCACACGTAACTAAAATAATGTTTGGAAACTTAACTCAACCTATATTAACTAATGATTCAATCTAATGTTTAATGACTAGTATAATTTTTCAAGTGGGTCTATTTCAACAAACAACACAAAACAAATTGTATCCCTCAAACTACACATATTTACATTTTTCACTCAAGAAACTTCAGACTTGGGGATCATGGTGAGAAGATTTATCTTCCTTAACCATTAATGGCTATTTGTAGAGTTTAACCATATAATGGCTATTCGTTAACCATATAATGGCTATTCGTTAACCATATAATCCCCATACACCCTCATATGCTTGCAATAACTTAGTTACCAAGGTGAGGTGACCCGATTGGGTCTCAAGAAACTTCAGACCTGATGATTATGGTGAGAAGATTTGTCTTCGTTAACAATATGATGGTTATTTGTAGAGTTTAAGTTATAGTAATGATTATAAGTTGTGCTTTTGGATCCACCTCATGCATAGTTCGAAAAACTAAAGAACCAGTAACAAAAAGTAAAAGGCAAGTATCTTGATACTTACTTTAGATCAACGAAATCATGCCTATTAGTTTCAGATCTAAATGTTATAGTGAAAATTTTATCTGTCTTTTCCATAAGTGATAGGTGCGTGGTGAGAATGGATAAGGTGATTATAAACAAGCAACCTTGATGCTTAAGGAAAACAAATGAATATAACTAGGGGAAGAAAGATAAATAAAGGAAACTACTTGGTGCCAAAGGCTTTTTATTAATAAGCAAAAGAATGTACTAAACTTAATTGAGAAACATCTAATCTACATCTATTTATACTAAACCAATTAGAATCCTAACTGAACTCTAAAACATACAAGGAATACACTTAAAAACCTAAGAAAATGAAACTTTCTTGTTTTTCACCTGATACTAAATTACTCCAACATTTTCTCTCATAATTTATAATCATGTATGCTCCTTACTCCCAATAAGTATATAATCTCTATGAAATTCGATCTTACCAATGACTTTGTGAAGATGCCCGTCCTTTTCTCCTTGCTGCAAACAAGATTCACTATAATGTAACATCCAAAAAATCCATAGAAAAATTTTCATTTTTAAAAACTATAAACCATACAAACTAGATGTGCTTGAAACCATAACCATAAAAACTCTAAGGGATGTTGTGTAGTCACCCCGAGCCCTTCCCTTTCTAACTGGAAGTACCTGAAACCATAACCAGAAAAACTGTAAGTACAAAACTTAATGAGTTCCCCAAAGCACCACATACCATACATATCATTGGGCCTATCCTGCACATTGGGCTCAATCCATAATAAAGGGCCTAACCCTTCATAATGAATGGGCCCCGCCCAATATATATTTAGGCCTATCCCACCATATAATGGGCCTAGTCCAACATACAATGGGCCTAGCCCTACATGCATGTCCATGGGCCTAGCCTAACATACAATGCAAGAGTCACAAAGATTACTAACATTCTACATAACACATTACAGTAGGTCTTCATTAGTGCCTTCGACCCACAAGTATAATGAGGAGACTCACCTCAATCTAGAGATAACCGAATCACACACGCGCTTCTGCTACTAGGCT